TGCTTTTAGAAAATAGTTTTCTTTGCTTAAATTCAAGTAAGAATGATTTAGCACTTATTTTTTCATTATTTTCTTATATCTGTTCACTTGATTTAAACTTTGATTAATTTAAGAACAATTCAAGATATCAGACAGTAATAAAATATACACAATTTTCAGCTTTTTTTTAAATCCTTAAAAAATAAAACAAATCTTAATGGTAAAGAGTAAATATGGTAAATATAAAGGTAAATATGGTAAAAATAAAGAGTAAATATGGTAAAGCAAACATGCTGTTTAAAAATTTTTTTAAACAGCATGTTTGCATTTAAGTTTAAAAAGTTTATAGGCCATATCAATAACATAACACATAACAATACAAAAAAACATATTTAAAGCAAAGCAAAACATTTTAATTAAATTTTAATCAAATTAAATGGTTTATTTCTAATTCAACTATTTAGTTTTTGTTGATGATTTGTACAATAGTTTCCTACAAAGTATTAAAAAAAGGAACAGTTTGTCTTTAAAAATAGCATCACTTTTGATCACTTCAAGGTGGAAAACAGCAACAATTTTTTCTTTCTATTATTAACTATATTTCATCTCTGTAGATTTTAGAATCGTGCTGCTTATCAGTTATAAATCTTTAACTAATGTCTTTAACTTTAAATGCCTCTCATAAAGCTAATACCTTACAAAAAGATGTAGTAATAGACTGGTAAGAGACTTGGGTATACTGGTAAGACTTATAAAAACGCTCAGTATGCATACCAGAAGTTCAAGGATAGAATATTTCTCTACAAACAAATTGATTGCTGTACTTCCATACTGCCCTTAACTTGTTTCTCTGCACAGCAGTTTTTTTTATAGGTTTATGTTTTGAAGTTTTGAAGGGTTGAGAGCAAATAAATTAAGTAGCGTCCTTGACTGTAGTGGTAACTCTAAAGCCTTAGGACTTCACTTAAACTTCAATTTAAATTAATTGACTAGGTTGCTGTGCTCATAAACTCCAACTTTGTTAAAAATCAGTTATCTATAATAAACTAATACTTGTTACATTAATTTTTATGCTATAAGTTGGACAGGTAATTCTTATAAAACACAACATTTTTCATGGAAAAATATTTTTGATGTCCATTGTAGTCAAAGCTTCAAATAGATGCCAGGTTTTAATAGCACTTCTAACTTGTCAGAGTAATTTAAAAAAATAATGAATGCACACAGTAAAAACAAAACCTGTCCTATTGAAATGCAAGCAAAACTAATAACATTAGTCACTACTATTTTAAATGCAGTATCTGAAGCTACTATTCTAAATGCAAAACAAAACATAAGAATTATTTTGGTCCTTCCATGAGCAAAGACAGTTTTTGAAGTCTTTCCTCAAGGCATAAGTAAAATTGTTGAAGATGTTATGGATTTAGAATGTCATGAAGATGTTTTCTCATCAATTCCTTCTTAGACCTCAATTTACATTAGCAAAGTTTATCAGAAATGCAAGTTGTGGAATCTTGATGACATCTGCAAAAAGCAAAATTAAATATTACAACGATTCTCAATGAAATTTAAATTGACAAACAAAGTTTTTTTCCAAACCAAATGGAGTTTTAAAATATTTGAATATATAAGGGCAACCCTCGGAATTAGGAAAAATGAGGTCGACAATAATCTGCTAATCTCAATCTTTTAGAGGTAGGCATCAGGTTTTCAAACAAATTCAATGAGGTCTTACCATAAAACATAAAAACAAGGTCAGCAATTTTTTGCTGACCTCAAACATTTTTAGGTCGACAGTTAGGCCGGCATTGCCAAATGCCGACCATAATTGCGAGGGTTGTATGGGTATTTCCATTTCCATGCATCATTTTTTTATTTTTCTTGGTTTTTGCAATTAGAAGCTAGAACTCATTGCAAGATGCATACTATTATGATTTTTTTAAAATGATCTCTGAAAAAAAAATTTAATGTTTTAGGCTACCTGAATATTTAAACATATTTTTATCATTGTGTGTGAGTGTGTGTGTTAATGTCTCAATAGTTTGAAAAATATACAATAATTTTCTAAATGTTATAATCTAACTGGAAATATTTGATGACTGCCATTTTTCATTGAAAATATATTAAATACGAGTTGTTGAGATATATTTCACTTGAAATACTCATAAGGAATTCTTTATCATAAAAATAACCAAATGAACTCAACTTTGCAACTTCTGTGCGCGACCATACATATACTGCACTTAAACAATTGCAGTAACTTTATGATACAAAGTGCATTCTTGTAACTTTCTAGAAATCTTTACTAATATTTAAAATATTAAAAAAAAAGTATACCTTTATTTAATAAATTATGTTTACTCTTTAGTAATTTAGTAAATTATGTTTATTTTATGTTTACTTAGGAATACTCTTTTTTCTGTCCCATATGTGATTCCATTTAAAACTGAATTTATTCTTTGATAACATTACTAATGAATAAACAAACAATGGTTGTAAACAAAATTCAATAAGCATTTTTGATATATCAGGTGGACACGGTAAAATCTGGTTAACTTTAAACTGAGATTTCTCTAAAACCATTAATGTTTTTTATTTCAATTTAAATGTGTTTATATCAATTAAGGTTTCAACTTAATTCTAAAGGGCATAAAGGGCTGTTTGGCTAGAGATTGAATTTTATACCGGGTTGATGCTATCATTTCGCAGTTTGTTTTTTTTTCACTTTATTGGTGGCATTAATTTACCTTTTTTGGAAATCTTTTTTATTATTTTTTACTCCATTTGAATTACAAAGCAATCCTTTAATTACTGCCCAAAAATCTTCTATCCTGCGTTCTTCAGTACGATTTGGAGGATTCGCATCTTCAGGAACAATTTTCACATTATCTTTGCAACACTGTAGAACTTTTTTAGAATAGTGACAAGCAGCAAACCCTGCCCAATAGAGACATCGGTATATGTGTTTTTTCATAAATGGCTAAAGTCTTTTTTGGGATCTATGAAAAAACACATACACCATTCTTTGAGATCAGCAGTCTTTTTAGTGACAAAAAAAAAAGAGGACTGCATGCTAAAGTTACAAATAGCTTGCCACACAAACAAATTTTATGCAAATTTTCTCTCATCAAATATATTTAAATTGATCATTGACAGGTTTATCTTTGTTCTCACAGTAAAAATGTTGACCAGGAAATTGTGAAAAATCTGCCTTGCAATATGTCTCATTGTTTTCAATTATGCGCATACTTTTATCCCCCATTATATTAACTAACTTCTTTGCACGTTTAATTCCTATAATTTCACTATCTAAGCTTCTCTTAGGTGATTTTTTTAAAGAAATGCTTTAATTCTATCATTTTAAAGTACTTTTTTGATATAAGAAGGAGAAGTCTTGAATTTTCTTGCTAGATCTCGTTGTGACTGGTTCGCATTTCTTGCTATTGAACTGAGAATCAACTTTACCTTTTTGGATTTATGTAAAGTTTTCTTTCTTCAACTTTCAGATTATAATATCTATGATTGTAGATTTTAAGACATTACTACATTTAGCAATTAAGCGATATAAAGTCAATGGATTTTTGCAAAAAAAAATTCAAAATGTTTTTATGCACCTCGCTTTGTTTCCGAGACCTTTTGCAAATAATTGATTTGTAAACAAAGGTTTATCAACACAATTAAAGATAAGGAAGTAACATTTAGTTTAAAAAATAAATAAAATTAAAAGTGTTTGTGGTTTTAGAAAAATCTCAATTTAAAGTTGAACAGATTTTTCCAATTCCACCCATTACCTAATAACATATTAACTAGAACAAAAATTATTTAAAAATAAAACTTCCTGACATATAAATTTCTAACTTAAAAAAAGGGACATGTCCTGCAAAAATTCACATCTGTGTCCCCTTTTTCAAGTAAGCGATTCATATATCTTTGAAATTAGACAGGTTCTAATTCGCATGGAGTTGCCGATATTTAAAAAGTTTCGTTATCAAAAATCAAAATATAATGATATTTTCCTTATATTCGTATACAATTTAACAAATTTAGCAATTTAAATAAACTTAGCGTAATCAAAAAAATTTTATAATAAAAAAATTTAACAGTTCATCAAATATCTTTAATTAATACTGTCAGTTAATGAAAGTAATTGTTAATAAATACTTTTTTTTGACGAGAAAACAAAAAAATGTCATAAAAATGTAAAAAAGACCAGAGAAGTTAGAAAATGGTTCCCATTGCTTAAATGAAAATAAGTAATATTTAGAATATATAATACTGTGCCCTTTTGCACAATAACAAGAGACTGTATATATAAAATTCTATATAATGTAAAAACAATTATAAGATTTTCATACTCGTATCTTAGGGTTTTCATACGAGTATTTTACATTATACAGAATGTTATATACCTCGTTTATTTGTCTCTTGTTTTTGTGCAAGAGAATGCAATATTATAAATTCTTAATTTTTAAGTAAGATTCACAATATATAATAAAGCTTTAATATTTGTTTAAATTTAAAAACAAAAGAAATATAAGTAAGATATATAAATCTAAAAATTATTAAGATATCTATAAAAAGTAAGTTGTTCCTATAAAATAAAAATGATTATTATTTTTACTTTTTACAAAATTTTTTTGCGATGTTTGGAAAAATAATACAAATAAATTTGTTTTGCTGTATGTTAAACAAAAACTACTTTTTTTTTTTAAATTAAAGTAGAAAAATGCACCTTTATTTAATTACATTTTTCTAAATTTGTTTATAATTTTTGTTTATAATTTATAACTATTTAATATCTTTCATTTTAATTAACAATATAAATATAAGAAGTAAATTTAGTCTAATATTAATGCATGCTTTTACATCTATATTTTCTATAGTATATGATGTAGATTAAAAATGATTACCTGTTTCAGAGGTTTTTACAGCTGTATCAATTAACCCTTCTCGACCTCCCATTGCATGAAAAAAGAATTCTGTAGGAGTAAGGCCAGCAAGATAGGAATTTTCAACAAAACCACGGGATTCAGGACCATAATCATCCTTGTTAAAGTGAGGAAGTGTTCTATGACGAAATCCAAATGGTATACGTTTACCTTCAACATTCTGCTGACCTACAACTGCAATAATCTAAAATACCAACAAATTGATTAAAGCAACTCTATATATTGAAAAACATAAAAATAATTTTGATAAATAAAATACCTGTGAAATATTAATATTTGAACCTTTAGAGCCAGCAACAACCATAGATTTGAAGCTGTTAAATACAGATAAACTTTTTTGAGCACTTGCACCTGTTTTATCACGACATTCATTCAAAATTCTGTTTACTTTATTTTCAAAAGTTTGACGAAGAGAGTTACCAGGAGTAGGTTCTAATTGATTAGTATGTGCCTGCTCAATAACTTCATTTACTTCTTGTTTTGATTTTTTAATGGTATTTTGAATATCTGCATACGTGTCTTGGTCAGCAATGCAATCTCCGATACCTAAAAAAAAATAATTATTGCATTTTATTCTTTACAGGTATGTAAAGCCAACGCCAGACTTTTGTCAAAAAATGGTTTAGCATTTTGGGAACTTTTTTGAGAGCAAACACACACACAAATACTATTTTCAATTTATTTCATAATACCAATACTGTGTCCTTCAACTAGAAACCAATTATTGGTCACTTTTTGTAAATCACCATAGAACTCCTTTGCAATCTCAGGTCCTTCTTCAGCCATAATGATATGTACTAAAGAGTTTCCTGATGGTCCAACAGTCTTTTTACAAATAATTCCTGATATTAAAGTACCATCTTCAATTAATACCTAAATTTAAAAAACAAAGTGTTTTTTGTGTTTCTATAAAGTTTTTTTAACATATAAAACTCAAAAAAAGACCTTTGTGTCTCCAGGAGATATGTGACAATAAGGTCCATTTGACTCATCATCAGGATGTGCAGAATGCTCACCAGAATGATTAATTCCTGGTGGAATTAATAAAGAAAAAATCTGTTTTCCAGTCCACAATGGCTTAGGTTTGAGTATAGCAGGTATTGGAAACTTTCCATCCCATTTTCTAATCCACAATAAAAGATTCATAACCACATCCTAACAGAAAACTGTATAAATAAATCATTTTTCTTTTTTTTTTTTTCTTTTTTAAATAATAGAAACTATAAAATTACTAGATCTTAACTCATTTAGTAATTATATATAAAATAGAAATATTTTAGCTTTCAGTGAAAACTAAAATATTTCTATTTTAGATTTAAATATTTCTTTAGTCAGTGAAAACAGTCTGCTAAATCATTATAATTATCAACTATTTATGAACATTTTTTATTTACTATTTTTTTTATTTACTATTTATGAACATTTTTATCAACATGTTTTATGAACATATATGCTTGCACATACATTTCGCAGTGGCTTAGCAAGAATAAATAAAAGGTTAATTTTAAATTAATTTTTTTTAAACACTAAAATACAGAAAAAAAAAATCATGTTACATTAATGTGTACTAGTAAAGAACAAGCGCTCAAGTAACAACCTTCAGAAAACGTACTAGCATGTGTCCCACACTCAAGCATAAATCGTCAGAAAAAGTACTAAAAAGTACGTCAAAAAAAGTACCGCAAAATGTGTCAAAAAAATATACAATTAAAAATATATGTAACTTAATTGTAAAATAATAAAATTTAGTTATATATATTTATTACTACATATACAATAAACATTTTACTTTTTCCAAGAAAACATCTCTTTTAGTAAACTTATAAACAGCGCATAATGAATCTTGCACTATACCCATACAAGGTTTATTTGACTGTGGTGTTATAATTTGTCGTGGCACCATTAAAATTTCAGTAATTTCCGCACGTGTTTCCATTGATTGTGGAACATGCATGTTCATTTCATCTCCATCAAAATCAGCATTATAAGGAGTGGTTACACTAAATTTTAAAGAAGCAATTAAAGATGTTAATAGTAAAAGTATTAAAATTTAAATAAATACAAATAGATGTATATGAATAACTTAATTACATAATTTGAAAACTAATAAAACTTGATAAGAAAAACTAAAAACTAAAACTTTTATTTATTTTTAGATATTTTGCAGTCTTGTAATTAGATACTTTGTTTCAATTCAACTCAATCAAACTTCCAATTGACTTTTTTAAGGAGTTAAGTTGAATGGCAAATAGAAAAAATAAATATTTTTAATAATTATAAACAAATGTACCATTATAAGCTAAATTAAACCTGATAAATATTAATATTGCTTATTTGTTTATTGTCAATTAGAAATGCATAAATAAAAAAATATATTATAAATATTACAGTAACAATAATTAAAATTTCTTGAATTTTTAATATTTAAATACTTCATTTTTACAAACATAAACAAAATGAAAAATTATGAAAACCTTTTTTAATCTTGCTCTCATTAAATTATTACCAAAAAATTAGCATAAATTGTGACTAAATGCAGTGCACACATAAAAAATTCTCAGAAAGTCCGTGGAGTTAATGTACTATAACTGGTATAATGTATTGTGGTCATATGAGGAACCTGTTTTTAAAAAATGGCGTGTAGAAATAACTTCTGGATATTTCAATGATAATTGACAGCATGCAATTTTTTTATTGTATTTAAAGTCGTATGTTTTTTTTACTGCATTACTACACAACTTTAAAACTAACAAATCATCAATTAAATTTTAATTTAAGAAAAAAAAATCACTGGTTTTTGCAAAAAAAAAAAAAAAAAAAAAAAAAAAAAATTAAGGTGATGTAACATGAATGATAGGAAAAACATTGGAAATTGGAAAACAACCCATGATGTAACATGAATGATAGGAACAACATTGGAAATTGGAAAAAAAAAAACAGTTTTTTAAAGTCCCAAAAAATAGCTTTTTTTTAATTTCAACTTTTAAATTGAAATATAAACCTGTTGATGTTTTTACATATCTTTACATTTCAATTTGAAACTAAACAAAGGTGTTCATAAAGTATTTTAGAACAATATTAGAGATACATAAAGAACTATAACATTTGGTTGCTATTAAAACAATAAAACTTAAATTTTAAAATTTTAAATTTTAAACAATAAAATCTACCATAGCTTTGACGAAAATATGAAAAAAAGTTACATCTTTTTAAAGAACATTCAATTTTTAAAGTTTAAAAAGATGGAGACTTTTAATTATGATTTAATAAATTAAAAAACTGAAAAATCTAAATAAACCTAAATAATTGGTTTGTTAATAATTTGTTTATAGGATAATTGAGAAGGTAAACAGTTTTTCTAGGACTAGTAGAGCAGTTTTCTCTTTGAATCCATAAGACATATATTTGCTTTCCTAATTTTACAAAAAAGACACTAAATGTGTTTTTTATTAGCTCCTGAAAAAAAAAAAAAAGGCTCAAAAAATATTTCAAGGTTTACTTAGGCTTATATATGCATTTAACCTTGTTGTTATATTAGAAGTTTGTTATCACCTATTTAGTTTTATGCTGAAGTTTTAATAAAAGACTTTTAAAAGATAAAATTTACAGACTTGATAACAAGTTAGATGTTATTGTTAAATTTTGACAAAACATTTCTATAAAATCTTACCTTACTACTTCAATAAAACTGCTTCTATTTTTATTTTTTTACTAAAAATTACATATATTTCTTCTCTTCCTTTAAAGAACATTTAGATATGTTGCATATCCTCAGTTTGTTAACAATAGGTTAAATATGACCAAATCACTGTAAGTTTATATGGTATAATCAAACAGTTCTACTTGCATGTGGTATCTTAAAAATAAAAGGCAGGTTTCCTGATTAAAAAGAAATTTACACACACTCGATAGTAATAACAACAATGCTTTAGGGATATCTGGAATAGTAGAGACACAAAATTTGGTGAAAGTTTCATAATAAAAAAAAAAAATCATTATTTAGTAAGATATATTTAATATAATGTAATGTAAATACATATAATATATTTACAATACATTATATTAAAAATAATCTATAACAAACAAACAAAAAATCTGGAAAAAGCTAATTAATTATCAAATTTTTAAAATATATAAAATATTTTTAAAAAATTAAAGAAAAAAAAAATCATTAAAAACTTCTTGAGACACCCTAGTGGAAATATTTCTTACGAAAAAAAAACTACATCAGAAACGAATTACATTTTTAAAACCACTGTACCTTGTTCTGTTATGACCTAGATTTTGAAAATATTTAGTTGATATCTAAAAAAATAAATGTGGGTTAAACAAGCTGATCCAGAATTTTTAGTGTTTAAGACTTCCAGAATGTGCTTTCATAAAATTTTGTAATAAAAATACTGATGCAAAATAAGAATGTTTCAGAAAAAATTGCGACGATCGGAGACTGGAAACAACATTAAATAGATTATCATATATAGATTATTATATATAAGTCTTATGTCAAAGTATTCATTTAAAATGGCGTCATCTTCAATCAGTTTGTTTCTGTTATTTATTTCAAATAATTTGCAACTTTTATAACTTCTAAAAATACTTAAAACTTTAGCACCATGTGTTACTGAGACTACATCCATTCTTTAATTTGTTTACTTCATTTGTAGAATGAAGTAAACAATTTCACTTCATTTGGTGAATCAGTAAACAATGCTTTGGAAGAAGTTTTTGGTCTTTGTATACTAATTGAAGTTCTGCATGTTGCAACCTTAATTAAATTGCCTTGTTTTTGAAACATTTGTTTAAGTGTTTTGGAACATTGCAATTCAGCACCTCTATTGTTTAAATATAAATCTATAATATAAAATTTGTAATTACTTTGGAATTATTATTATAATTTAGTTTTAATAGGAACTTAATAATGAAATTAATATTTTTTTACCTTCATCTAGTTGCTTCATTAGGTTTTCCCTTCCCTTTCTAATTTAACAGGTTTGGGCTAACCCTGGTCCAATATCATTTAAACATCTTTTACAAACTTTAATTGGTCCAGGAGAGGGTAAAACTTTCATGTTGAGTTTTGGTCTTCCTCTTTTTTCTATATTTGATCCACGTGTTAAATTACTACTCAGTGTAGTTAAAGTGATTTACAAAATATTTGAATACTTTTATTTGGAATTAGCATGGTTTTGTCAGCATATTATGTCCAAACAAGATCTTTAAATGTTTTAACTTTTTTTACTTGAGGTTTTTAAAATATTTAAAGAAACTTTTCTTTTTTTTATATAATTTTCAAAACCTTATTTTTACCCGTAATAGTGAATCTAAAGAACACTATTCTGGAGTTTTTAGATCAATTCCGCTCATCGGCATTAACATGAATTTAGTTAAAAAAAATTTAAAAAAGTTTCTTAATTTACTACTGATCCTAGTTCTAATTGGTTCTGACGTATATTAAATATATATAGTTGTCAAAACACAATATTTCTATCAATTTTCACAAAAAATACTAGAATTCCAACCAAGAAAGAGCTTATAATTATGGAAAATTACCAATAAACGATCAGAACAGATCATATTCTTAAACTATAATGTTCATTTTACCTAAAAAAGGTATTAATATAAAATCTTATTCAAATTTGAACAAACGATTGTGATTTTAAGATCTAAGAATCTTTGGTCTGGGTTTTTTCGCTACAAACATTTATATTTTATGATTCCGCAAAATTTATCATTTTAATACTTTTCGTCTTTTTATAATTCACAGACCAGACCATTTAACGAAAATATGTCGTAGTCAACAAAATATCATACAGACGCTATAATATTTTAAAAGTGCCTTAACTACACTGAGTACTAGCAAAAAGCCAAACATCACATTGGCAAAACTTTTGGTTTCTAGTAAGAATAGTTTCTTTGATCTTAGAGAAATCAAATAGTTTACATGAAACTATATTGGTGTTACCTTTTTCCATTTTTACTAAATTAGTTCGACATCTTCCAAAAATTCCATTTGGATAGCGGTTATATTTAAATTATTAGTCAATGAAATATTTTTGAATTCTCAATAAAACTACACTTCCTCTTTGTATTTTACTTAAATTTTTTCCTTTTTCAAAGCAAATTAAACAAACTTTACTCCTACTTTGACTATGACTTAGCCTTGAATATGGCATTTCAAAGGTGAAATAATAACTAATATTTAAATTTTCAAAGCACAACTAACGATATTACAAACGCAACAAAACACAAACTACAATAATGCATAAAAATCAAAACTTGTTAAAACTAAAAGTAGTTTTTAATTAACCAATTTCAAATATTTTAGCAATAAAGAATGATTTTGAGAGTTAAATTGATGTGATACAAATTAAAACAGTAGTTTGCAAAAGTAAAACATGTAACATTTTATAAACTAGCTTTTTTTTTATTTGTGTCCCAGTGATTGGACTCAATCATATTAAAACTCTAAGAACACGCACCTTAAAACGTTCATGATTTTTTTTTCTTTTCATATTTATTAGAATCAAAATTTATCTACAAATTTTAAATATCATTCCAAAAAAATATGCCATTTAAAGTGACCTTTTAAAGTTATTCTTTTAATTTAATGTTAATTCAGGAATAAAAAACTAAAAACAATAATAACTTTTTAACGAGAAGAGATTTTTGTATGAAATTTTAATTTATAAATGTTTGTCTTTAGTGACACTAGACAAACAAGCAATATTCTCAAAATCTTAAATTAAATGCACCTGAAAGGATTTCTAAAGTCTTTAGAAAAAAAAAAATTGAGTGTATAGAGATCAGGATGAAGCTAATATGGTGCAAATGAACTTCTACAAGAAGGAAGAAAAGAGAAAAAAAAGGAATACATGTATTATATAGTTCGAATACACATATTATATAGTTTTTTTGTTAAAAAAAAAATTCATTTTCCTTATGAATACATGTGTAGGAAGTTTCTTTTGTGAAGCAAATGTAGTAGTTTTATTTTTTTATCTGTAATTGGAAAAGTAGTAAATTACCTTAAATTTAACCGAAAAGTAGACCATGGAAGAACTTTTACTCTATGACCCATCATACTCATCTTGTGAAGGGTAGGTTGCCGATTAAAAACAACAACGTCATTATCAATAATATGTCTTTCAACCTAAATATTTATAGAACAATAATAAAAAATATATCAAGAAAAGATTAAACATAAAAATTTCAATTTAATACTTATTTTAAAATACTTATTGTATATATATTTTTTTATTGTTATTATATGTAATTCATATTGTAACAATTCAAAAAATACAAGCAATTTAATCTAAAGTAAAAAAAATTGTGTGCCTAATAAAACCCACAAATTGAATCTGATGCCAATCTGCTAAACCATTAATTTGAATCTGTCCAATTTCATATACTAACAATTTCAATAATAATAATAATAGCAATAATAATAGCAATAATAATAATAATAATAATAATAATAATAATAATAATAATAATAATAATAATAATAATAATAAGAAGAAGAAGAATAACAATAATAAAAATAATAATAATAAAAATAATAATGTCCATTATCCTTTATGGGATATTATATACTGTCCAATTTCATATACTAACAATTTCAATCAGAGTATTAAGAGTGCCAAGTTGCGCATGGATGGTATCCCTGCTTGTACTTTTGGTGTGCATTCTCTTTATCTTTCAGCCAATATCGTTGTTGTTGGTGATTTCAAAGCTCGCCATACTGAATGACTTGACTCTAGTGTCAGTGATTTTGCAGGCATTAAGGCCAACAACTTTTGCCTTTTTTAATCGCTAACACAACTAATGAAATTTTTAAATCACTTTGCAGACAATCTGAATCATTTACATGCGCTACTCGATTTATGTCTTGTTTCTGATCATAGTCAATGCACAGTTTTTACCCCATTCAACCTTTGGTGCTTCAGATCACGATTTCTCTTAATATATCTAAAACTATTATCTCATTCTTCTTCATCATCAGAATTCCTCTATCTTTTCACCTCTTACAACTACCTTAAAGCTATCTGAGACTCTTTCCGTAATTTTCTCTGTGATGGCCCTTAGGTAGAAATCTTTCATCTTCTTATTGACAAATGTGCTTAGATTCAGACTGGCATAGAATCTTTTATTCCCTCTTTATGATTTCAAGTTAGGCCTCACTCTTCTCCATGATTTTTTTCTAAATGTACTTCTGCAATTTCCAATCGTAACCATTACTTTCATATCTACCAGCAAAATAATTCTCCAGAAAACAGTAGTAAACATAGTCTGTTTACTACAACTAGAAACAATTGTAAAAAAGTTTTGTTTAATGTTAATGACTGCTATTCTCAGGTTATAAAATCCTTCATTTTATCTCAAAAATTAGGCTCTTGTGACTTCTGAAAAATATTTAACAGTATCTATAACAAGGACAAACCTGTTATTCCACCTCTACTGTATGGTTCAGATTTTGTCAGCTCACCTAAAGACAAAGCTGAACTGTTTATTAAGAACTTCTTATCAATATCATCTGTTGATTCCACTAGTGGCGTTCTACCTGATATAGCCAACAAACAGAATAATCCATTGCCTGTTTGTTGGATATATCAGGTAGAACAAAGCACTTCAGCTTCTGTATCTAAAGTGATTTTCTGCTTAGACTCTTCTACAGTTTGTGGTCTGGAAAGTTCACCAGCCATTGTGAGCCCAATGCTGTAGCAGAAGTGAGGTCCTTTTCAAGCTTAGAAGCCCCCTGCAAGCAATCAGAGGGAGTTGGCTTCTTATCGTGACAAGAATAAATGGTAGTATCATCAGCGAACAATGCCACCTTAGATGTGAGAAAATCTGGAAGATCGTTAATGTAAATTAAAAAGAGTATAGGGCCAAGGATTGAACCTTGAGAAACCCCCCTGAGGTTACAGAATAAGAAGAAGAGTGCTGTTCATCAAGGACAACTTTTATACTATGATTGGAAAGAAAGGATTTCATAATCTTAAAGATGTTTCTAGATACACCGTAAGAAGAAAGCTTATGGAGAAGACCAGCATGTCAAACTTTATCAAACGCCTTAGAAATGTCAAGAGCGATGGCCTTAACCTGTCCACCTTTATCTAATGCGCGATAAAACCTATCGGTTATTATTGTTAGCAAATCAGCCGTAGAACAAGAAGATCAAAATCCATATCGATGATCAGAAAGTAGGTTATGAGATTCGAGATGAGAGATTAAGTGTTTGTTAATTAAAGATTCAAAAACCTTGCTTATGATAGGAAGAAGACAAATGGGACGGTAGTTAGATGAATCAGATCGCTCTCAAGAATTTTTAAAAATAGGGATAACAGATGCTGCTTTCCAGCTGGCTGGAAAACAAGACTCTGATAAGCACTTGTTAAATAGTTTTGAAAGGATAGACCACAGCTCCGGAGAACACTTCTGCAAGACTATAACAGGTATGTTGTCCGGGCCGCAAGCTGTAGAAGAGTCTAAGCAGGAAATCACTTTAGATACAGAAGCTGAAGTGATACGGATGTCGAGCAGTGGATCAACCTGTTTGACTGCTATATCAGGTAGAACGCAACTAGTGGAATCAAGAGATGATATTGATGAAAAGTTCTTGGCAAACAATTCAGCTTTGTCTTTAGGTGAGGTGACAAAGTCTGAACCGAACAAAAGAGGTGGAATTATAGACTTGCCCTTATTATTGATACTACTAAAGATTCTCCAGAAGTCACAAGAGCCTAATTTTTGTGATGAAATACGAGATATCATGATCTGAGAATAGCTGGCTTTGGCGTTAGACAAAACCTTTTTACAATGGTTCCTAGCAGTAATAAACAGACGTCTGTTTTCTGGAGAATTGTTTTGGTGATAGATATGGAAGTAATGGTTTCGATTAGCAATTGCAGCATAATGTGAGGAAAACCATGGAGAAGAGTGAGGCTTGACCTGGAATTGTCGTGAGGGAATAAAGGATTCCATGCCAGCCTGAATCCACGAAGTTATGTAAGAAGAACATCTCTCAACAGGAAGACGAAAGATTTCTACCCATGGGCCATCACAAAAAAAATCACGGAAAGAGTCCCAGTCAGCTTTAAGGTAGTTGTAAGATGTACAATGATAGGGGGATTCTGATGGTAAAGAAGAATGAGATAATAGTTTTAGAGAGACCAAACCATGATCAGAAGCACCTAAGGGTGAGTGTGGAGAAACTGAGCACTGACTAAGATCAGAAACAAGACATAATTCGAGTAGAGAAGTTAAATGATTCGGGTTGTCTGGAAAGCGAGTTGGAAAGTTGACTATTTGAGTTAGGGATTGAGAAAGACAAAAGTTGTGGACCTTAATGCCTGCAGAGTCACTGACACTAGACCAAGCCATTCAGTGTGATGAGCATTAAAGTCACCGACAACAACAATATTGGCTGATGGATAAAGAGAGATGGCTTGGTCAATATGATCAGAAATAACATCAAGAAGAGTGTCGTCTTGAGATGCAGGAGAGCGATATAGAGCAAAGAGAAAGGTGATAGAGTGAAGTGGTGCTAAACGAAAGCACATAAAAGAGTAGTCTGTGGATTCAAACCAAGTTTCCCGACAAATGGGTGAATTCTTACGAATGTAAATGCTTAGGCCAAGCATGTGACTATTGGAGTCTTGACGAATTAAAGAAAGATAACCATCAACACTAAGATCACAAGATGAGACAGCTGAACTCAAATTAGTCTCACAAAGAGCAAGTAGGTCTGGTGAACTCAGCAAGAGATAAGACTCAACAGAAGAAAAGTTACTTCGAAGACCACGAATATTGGTGAATGATAGGTTTAGCAAACTTAGTGATGACTGTGGTTTTTTGTGTTTTATAGTTTTTGTTACTTTATTCATTTTTAAATTTGTTAAAGAACTTGACTCAAAACATTGATAGCACTCAGTACACTGTTTTAAAGCCCAAGCAATTGCCTCATTTCCACTAATAAACCCTAAGCCGTAACAAAGGGCTCCAATGTAGCCTTGGCAATGCACACCAAAAGTACAAACAGGGACACCATCCATGCGCAATATGGCACTGTTAGTACTCTGATATTTTTCAGCTGTTGATGGAATCAGCCTTTCTGAGAGCTACCACAGAGTTTGGGAAACCTGACTACCAGCCGGCCTCAGAACCATAAAACTGAGTTTTAGAGCTGTACCCTCATTTGGAGATAATAGAATGAGTTGCCTAGTCATAAAAACAGAGACACAAGCAAAACCCATGCATCAGGTCAAAAAGATCCAGCATTCAACATCCTAAACTGGAAACAATGTATTAAAAATACATCTGCGCCAGCCTAATAGATGGAGAAAGGGTGCGAAGCTGGTCAACAGATAGAATCTGTTTACCCCTTAAGTCTTTGCCTAGGAGGCCTTCTACAAGACAGCAGCTAGATGCATGTAACACCTGCCAGAGATTAGTATTTTTATCGAGACATTATCTCTAGCCTTTACTCAACCAAGAGCCCTAAGGTAGGGGATTTTTTTTGTCGGAATTTGCATCTCCCAGCCTTTGCCTATAAAAGGCATATCCTACAAGGCAGCAGGACAGAGATTAATTCTTAACTTTAGATAATAGATTAATTCAAAGCATTCTAAAATGGCCTCATGACTTAAATGTTTTTTTTTTAATTAGAATTTTTGAATTGATTATTTGAAAATCTATTTATTTTAATACACATATTTAACTTAAAACTTAACCAAAACTTAACTTAAATTTTCACTAACATATCATGGTTTAAGAGTTTTTAACCTAGTTGAAACTTTCTGACTATGAAATAGAAACAAATCAATTGACTTTTTTTTGCACAAATTAATTAAACATTTAACATAATTATTTGCTGTTTAAGTTTGCTATAATATTAATAGTCAATTATTAAAATTGTTTGATTCATTGTAGTGCAAGTAAAAACAGCTAATTATACTTGACAAGACTAAACAAATTGAAACATATCTGTATACTGTGAATGTGTATGTAAATTATGTACACGTACAAAAGTATATACACACACAATTATGCCAAAATAATATGTACTGACTCTGTGTACTTGAAAATTTAGTCAAAAAATTAAAAAATAATAACAAAATAGCAAAGAATGAAAAAAAGCTTATCAGCTAGGTATACCTTATATCCAAACTGTAAATGAAGATCGCTTGTTTTTGGATGAAAACGTAAATCTATTCTTTCACCGTTATCACGAATAATATATTTAGCCCCAGGATAATGAGTAGGTCCACGACGTACAAGTTCTTGTAATCTTTAATTAAATTATACAAATAATACAAAGAAATTCTAATAATATAACAAAAATATTTTTAAAAGATTTCAAATATACAAAAATGACAAGTTCAACTTTATCATTTTGATAATCGGAATAGTTTTATAAAAATACAATCTAAAACAAAGTTTAAAATCTGAAAGATTTTTATGCAAGTTGTTTTCATTTTTCTACAAAATTGGGTATTTATGTGTCAACAAAAATTAACTTGTCTTATACTTTCCTCTGCCCATCTTACTCTTTACTCCAAAAAAGGTTACAAACAACTACTATTTAAGCAAAGGTTTAACAGAAAGCAAAAAGGGTTAAAAAAAGAAACTAGAGGAACTAAAAAACTGTAAAGAAAGGAGAATACTTAACCATCAATCTTCAAAGGATAAAACAAGATTTTTGAACATTAGGGAATATTTTTAAAAAAGGGGGTGTGTTTTCTGAATAATTGAGTTCTGGTCAATAAAAGAAGTGCTGATAGCTTGCTTGAATACCAACCAAAAAAAAAACATATACAATCATTTCTTTCCAATTGTCTTAGGATAATTGGGAAGAGGCTCAAGAAACTTAGCAGCTAGAGCAAGGCTTACATTGACAATGGATTTTTGGACCTTTTTTAAATGAGTAAAGCCTCATCTAAAAATTTTCTCAAATAAAAACCTTTAAAACCATTTTACTTACATTACTAAAACAGTAAAATATTTTTATAGGTCCCCCAAGACCCTTGAACAATCGAACGAGCCCCTAATATTATCAACAAAGAGTCTCAAATGAAATAGAATTATATGAAACTTTCAAAAATATTAATATTACAAAAAACCTATTAAAATTGCAAAAAAATATTAAAAATAATTCGTTTTTTGTTAACAAACTTTATTTTTTTATGCATTAATAACTTATCTATAGTTTTACTTCATTGAGACAAACATAATACACTTTTGAAATTTTTTTGATGTTAGAGACTTTTTCAGGCTCAGTAAAGTATATACGCTCGGAGGAGAAGAGGGGGTCTGCAAATGTGTATATGAGATGCATATACATAAGAGGGCAGTGGGTCTATTAAAAAAGAAAGGAGACACTAAATTAAAAAAAAAAATCGTAAAATGTTAGATAATTTAAAAGCTTAGGTACTTTTAGGGAGTGGAGGCTACTCAAAAAAGCGTATTGCAAAATAAAAGCGTACATACTTTATGGACGACCCCTAAGGAAAAAGAAAAACAAGCTATTTAGAGACGTGTATTAAAATATTTTTGTATAATATGGTTTTAAAATTGATGGATTCAAAGACTAGAATTGTTGATCCAAGAATATAAACAAAATAACTATAGAGACTATGCTATAGTGAAAGATCTTTAGAGACCAGAACTATAGAACTCAACAGAGTACACATACTTTATATACACATACAAACATGTATATTTAGAAGAAATAATTTAGGTATGATTTTAAACAAACAAACAAAAAAATAATATTGTTTATCTTTGCTTTTTATATTACTGAACTTCCCCCCTTCCCCCATTAAAAAAAAAATAAACAACAAACAAACAACCTTGCTGTGACAACATAAAAAGCTGCAGTAAATTATAAACAGAAAATACAAACAAAAAATTAAAGTAAATCTACTGACCTGTCTATATTAAAAGGTGTCACAATTTCAGGATATGTTAGATTCATTGCAATTGTTTTAGGTGTTCCAACTTGGTCAATGTCTAAATTAGGATCAGGAGTAATGACAGCACGTGCTGAAAAATCAACTCGTTTCCCCATTAAATTTCCTCTAAGTCGACCTTCTTTACTCTTTAATCGCTGCTTGATTGATTTTAAAGGTCTCCCAGACTTTTGTTGCGCCTGAACATTCAATAAAGATAATTTTAACTACAAATTCCTTATGATTATTTAATCAATCATTTCAAACTTAAATTACCCTTGGAAGGCCGGGGAGCTCATTATCAGTTAGTGTTGCAACATGGAATTGCAGCATCATCAAGTCTTGTGCAATAACATGAGCAGCTGCACCATTCATTTCATTGCGTTTTAACTGATTGTTTGCCTTGATAATATCTGCAAGTTTATGAGTAAGGTCATCCTATAAACACACAAAAATTTTGATTCATAGTACAACATACATTTACAACATAAGGATACATTACATACATTTACACCATAAGAAACCAAAGTGCTTAAAATAAACAAAAGCAAAATTAAAGAGCAAGAAAACAGTTGACAGAAAACTTAAAAAACTTTATATTAAGTTTTGAGATTGATGGAAGAAGAGATGATAGTTCATTTGAGCAGCTACCATGTAAATAGAGTTTTTTTAAAAAAACCACACAGATTCACAAAATAACATTAAAAATGATGTTAACTTAATTTTGAACTTATGTTTATTTAAAATACAAGCACATGTCTTGGCATTTGAGGATACCTTTTTTTTCTGGAAAATATTCACGGAAGGATATGAATATAGTTAATATTGGAAGTTTTTATTATCATTCGTATTTTTAGGAGAACGTAAGCAAATTAATATTTAACTTGATAATATAATTAACTTATTCATCTTTATCATATTCAATCTTTATAAACATCCCATTAAAATGCATGCTGTATAAAGATTATGTTAAAATGCATGCTGGTATATATAGATTCACTTCAATTAGGCCATGAAGATTCTCTCAATAAATAATTTAAAGAAGGTAAACTGTAAAGCAAATGACATGGATATACCTATAGCGAATTGGATAAATGATATTTTATTGTTACCTGGAAAAAAAAAAAATTTAAAAAGACTATAAATAAAATCATTAAATTTTATTGTGAATTTTAATTTTAACTCATTTTCAAATCTAAAAGCAGAAATAAAGACTTTTCCTCCATTGTTCAAGTTGTTGAATTACAGTCGGAGCATCAGGTACAAATAGAGTATATGTGTGCACAAATAATAAAAAAATGATGTATTATGAATACAACAATCTACTCAGATGATGCCCAGATATGTTATTATCTTGAAAAAGAGTTTTATTCATTCATTACGTTATCTCAAAAATAAGTTATACTCTCAAGATGATTTGAAAATGATTATTTTTATAGATTGAAAATAAAGAAAGATAGTTGATAAGTCTAACTGAAACCATTAGTAGCTTTATTAATAGCTACAAAAGTTACAAAAACTTACTGTGCACAAAAAGTCAAGCTGTTTTAATAAAATTTAAAAAAATGTAGCATTAAGTAGTACTGAGGTCATTGATGATAATATGTAGTATTAAGTAGTACTTAAGTCATTGATGGCGTAGATGTGTAGCAAAATTAGCTTTAAAAATCGACAGAGTAAAAGAGAAAAAAGAGGTTGGAACAGAGTAGTGATATCTCTAGAACCGCAAGGAGTTGAAACTAAGATTTATAGTGAAAAATTAATTTAAGCTTGTATACTGATAATTCTTAAAAGCTGAGATAATATGGTGTCAATGGTGATCGACCAAAACTTTTTCAGTAACGGTTTTGGACACAATGTCAATTTAAACTGATACCGAAATTTAGGTTTCAGTACTTTTTATAAATTTGGTAAGAAGCAAAATATTGGTTAAAAACATACCAAAAATCAAAAATTATGTATCATTTTAAATTTTTAATTAATTTAGAAAAATAGTTATTTTTTTTACAAAATATCTCACCAAAAAAAATAAACAACAAATGTAAGACAACAACAAATCTAAATAAATAACAAATAAAAAATTGCTTTTTAGTTAGCATTTTCTGATAAAACTAATTTTGTTTAGCTGAAATTTAATTTTTGGTGACTAAAATGTTTGCCTAAATCTCAATTTTTGTATTGTACTAGCGTAACCAAAATTTTGATTTATTTTGGCTTCTACACATTTCCTGTTTCAGTTGATCACTAGGTGTCAAGTATAAATTGAATTAAGCTAAAATGACATTAATATAAGTATTTGTATATAATGTATATTTAAATCAAAAAACTTAATTTTATCAACATTTAAGTACAAAAAAAAAAAAAAAAATGTAAAAAGAGGCTGACCTGGTTTCTGGCACTACCATTCATAACAACAGCTGGTCTAACTGACAATGGAGGAACTGGAAGAACAGTAACTATAAGCCAATCAGGTCTACAAAACTTTGCATCCATTCCTAATATATCACACTCTTCATCTGTAATACGTTTAAAAATTTCATGGACACGCTCGGCAGTCAGTGATATTTTTTTCTCTTGAGAATCTTCATTTACATTCTTCCATTCTGCTGTTAAATCCAGAGCTTGTCTTCTAATTTGCGGTTGATAACGACCGCATCCACCATGACCCTTAAAAGTCAATTTATGTATTTTTTAATACTCTAATATAAATATTTAGATATATATATATATTTGAAAAAAAACAAAACAAATGTCAAACAAAATTCAATAAACTATTATAAAAATTTAAAACAATTTAAAAATCTAAAATTTTATAATTTTCTTACAATAAAAAAAAATTTATACGCAATTATAAATATATATACAACCTTAAAAATTCAGGGTCAGCATTCAACAATGCTGATGCTTTCTGACCTTAAACCTGACAGTGTTCAAGGTCAGAAATTTTTTGCCGACCTCAGAATTCTAAAACTTTTACTGTTTCAGATGAATTAAAAACAGCAAAATTTACTGTTTCAGATAAATTAAAAACAGTAAAAGAAACGGTTTATTTAAATTTTAAACAAAATAATTAAAATACATACAGGAAAACAAACTTTTCATTTAAATTCTAAATAAAGTTAAAATAAAAAAAAAACAAATTAACCATTTTATTTAAATTTTAGATAAAATAATTACAATAAAAATGACAAAAAAAAAAAAAAAAAGTCTTTATTTGAATTCCAAGGGGGCGTTCATATGGATAAAAGTCATCCTGCCTAACCAGAAGAGAAAAACTATGGAGATCTCGTCTCTCCTTTAAAACTTATACGATTATGAATTTGTTTTTATTTCAATTACTTTATTCTTAGTTTTTAATTTGAAATTTTAAATTATTAACAACAATAGTTAAAAAAAAAAAAAAGAAACGGAAAAACTAACATTTTATTTAAACTGTAAAAAAACAGTTTAAACAAATGAAAATGAAAAAAAAAATTTTTTTATTAACTCTAAATAAAATAATTAAAGTAAATTAAGCAAAATTGCTGCTTTATTAACGAGTTTCACAAAGTTCCTTTGTGGAACTCTTTTTTGTTAGCCAACAGTTTTAGGTTAGCAATTTTTTGCTGACCTTATTTTTCTAAATTCTGAATGCTCTGTAAAAATCAAAAAAAAATTAAAAGCATTTTGCTTAAACTTTAACCAAGTTAAACTTTATTGGGCCTTCATTTTAAAGAATAAAATAATTTTCGAAACATAGCAATAAAAAACATTACCAATAAAAATTCTTGTTAAATATATTAACTAAAGTAAATTTATAAAACATTGTTATTTAGTGAAAAATATATATATACTTTATAAAAATATACATATATTTAATGTCAAACAAAAAACTCATTTTAATATATTTTACTCTTATTTAGAACTTTTAATTAACTCTCTTAATTAACTTACTTTTTTCTCTGCTTGCTCTTCATTGTTTGCCAGATTTGCATCAAACTGTTGATCCATTATATCTCCCCCTTCGCAAATACTTTTACCTTTACATAAATCATAGACATGTTGAAATCTTTTTTTTGGCTGTGACTTAGTTTTTGATAGGATTTCTAACAGTTTGGGGTGATTCTTAAAAAGTAACAAAAATTAAGTTTAGTAAGTGAAAACAAGTATAACACAACAAGTATAACAAGTGAAAATAAGTATAATAATATAATAAAAAACATAAAACAAGTTTTAAATGACAGAAAAAAAAAAAGGTTGCAAAGAAAAACAAACTTGCAAGAAAAGAAAAAAATTAAAATTTAGGGAGCGAAAAAAAAAAAAAAAAAAATTAACAATCACTGCAAAATCTATAGCACAAAAAGCAAATGATTCTATCTATACTTTAGAGATAAATATTTGTGCTATTGTTATTACAAGAGTTGCCAATAATAAAGTAATTACTTTATTGATTCTAGGAAATATTTGAAACTAAAGTACAGGGCTTATAATATAGAAAACTGTCGAGTTTAACTTCACACTCATATAATATAACTACAACCACAAATACCTTGTCATTGAGTATAATTATTCCCCATTCATAATGTTTTTTAGAGCAAACTTTAAGATAGCAATTTGATGGCAACTGCATTTGTAAAATGTTTTGATATGCTATACAGTGTTTTTTCATCAATAAACATTATAAAATAGAATAACAGCACAGTGCTAGACATGAGCTCTAGCCAATTCAACAAAAATGTGAAATTGACTTTCCATAATTATTTATTGTTAGCACTTCAATTATTTTTAATTTTATTTTGAAAAATAATTCTTCCCTTTTTTTTTTATTACTATTTTAAATTAAAAACTTAATAACACTAAACTATAGTGTTAGTGCACACATAATAATTATTATTAACATACAATGTATGTAATTAAGTTTATAATACACAAAACTAAATTTAATTGTTTATATTTTTGTTATTGAATTTAATTCAAAATAAATTAATATTTAAGGCAACGTTTTTTTAAAGTCAAAAAAAATATTAAATCTACATATTATGACATTAACAATTCTTTAATCATTTCTAGAAAACCATAAGTAACTAAATTCTAAAGAAAAATAAAATATCAGGCCTTGGTAGAAAGAAAGAGCTTTAGCTCTTGCATTGAAGTTTATGGGAGCAATTAACGGCTCTTGGAAAAGTACAATTTTTTCATAAATACAAACCATTTTCTTTTCTTTACTATTTTTAGATATTGATTAGAAAAATCAAAAATTCTTGCGCAAACTACATCAAATAAAAAAGATAAAGTTAGAGTTTCAGATTGATTTTTTTAAATTATAAAATGCAATTTTTTTTTATGCATAACAGTTACTGATTTTTTATGCAGTGCTTCAGATTATACTTTAACTATACAAATGGTTTAACAACTTGTTCTTATATTTAAAATATTTTATACTACAACAATTGTTTTGTTTTTGGTATAGCAGAATTTTAGAATTATGTGAACATAAATATTACATAACTATAATACTAAGTCACAAGTCAAATTAGTAAATATTTTAAACAGATACTCAGTGCAGAGAGACTTTTTTCCTAAAATCGTTGTTGTGAAGTACTGTGTAATATTACTAATAGCTTTTAAATAAACTAATAATTGTATAACTAAAAATTGCATAATAAACTGCAATGCTTTTTTAAAGGTAATAATTTGCCAACCTTAATCTTTTTGAGGTGGCATGAGGTTGGCAAAAATTATTTAATACAAAGGTCTGACCATAAAACATAGAAATAAGGTGGGCAATTTATGCTGCCCTCAAACACTTTCAGGTCGGCTGAATGCCGACCCGAATTCCGAGGGTTGCTAACAGTAATAGTGAATCTAAAGAACACTATTTTGTAGTCTACTATTACTCCTAGTTCTAATCAGTTCTGACGTATATTAACTATATATAATTGTCAAAACACAATATTTCTATCAATTTTCACAAAAAATATTAAAATTCTGACCAAGAAAGAGCTTATAATTATGGAAAATTGCCAATATATGATCAGAACAGATCATATTGTTAAACTATAATGTTCATTTCACCTAAAAAACATATTAATATAAAATCTTATTCAAATTTGGACGAACGATTTTGATTTTAAGATGATTTTAAATAAAAAAAAATCTTCGGTCTGGGTTTTTTCGCTACAAACATTTATATTTTATGATAACGCAAAATTTATCATTTTAATATTTTTTGTCTTTTCATAATTCACAGACCAGACCATTTAACAGAAATCTGTCGTAGTCAACAAAATATCATACAGACGCTATAATATTTTAAAATACCTTAACTACACAGAGTAATGAAAACGTTATTAGACACGGTTGTTGCAAAAAATTAATAAATAAAAAAGAGCAAAAATTAAAATGCAAATACACTATTTATTTATATATTATCACTTTTATTGTGGAGTTTTCAATTTTTGTAAAATTGCTGCTTTCGATTACAATAAAAAACATTTTTTATAAGCAGTAAAAACTTTTATATCTCTCTGTCAAATTTTTTATTAAATAGGTAATGTTGTTAATAAATAAATGGATAAAAGTGAAAACCAAAAAAAAAAAAAAACGAATTTTTTCAGAACTATAAATGATACTCATTGTGTATATAAATGATGCTCATTGTGTATATATGATATATACATATATTAATCAATCATTGTGTATATATATGATATATACATATATTAATATAATAATTAAGTAACATACTTGTAATGAGTATAAAATTTTTATTTAATAAGCAATTGATAATAAATAAACAAATAGCTTATGCAAAAACCAAAAGCTCTTTAGAGGAACAGCTCACGTGGCTTGCCATGTTTGTTTTAGGAGAGCTTTTCTCCCTAAAACTACTTACTCATGCCAAGGCATGATTTTGTAATTTTGAGTAAGTTTTGTATTGCAATAAGACATTCCACTATAATTTGACTTGAAAAAGTAATTTTCAGACCACTAACCTTTAAATTTCCTATTTTCATATTCAAATTTTTTTTTTTTCCTGTAGGTATTTGTTATTTTAACTAATAAAATAATTAGAGAATTAATCAAGCAGGAACCCTTAGTTTCTACTTAGTAAGTTAGTTACTTAGAAAATCATTTTTTAAACATGATACAACCTGTAGAGTTTTAACCTAAGAATTAGAGTCAGTACAGTTAAAACCCTCAGAATTAGGGTCAGCATTCGACATTGGTAACTGCCGACCTAAAAGTGTTTGAGACCTTGTTTTTATGTTTTATGGTGAGATCTTTGTATCAAAATTTGTTTGCCGAGGGTTGATGATATTAGTAAGTGACCAGAGGCCAAGAGAAAAACCTGGCACTGACCCTCATAGAATCAGCAGGGGTTGGTAGCTGAGGCTAGGAATAAAACTGTGGTTAAAAATAAATTGGCAGGAAACCTGGCCCAGTCAAGTTTCATATTACTGTACTTTAATGTATTTTTATTTATTTTAACCATAAAAAACTTTTCACAAATTTAGAATACATATCGAAAAAAGCATAAAAAGAAGTAGCTAATTATTACCATAAATACAGTTAATATCTTAATGCACACAAAAATTGAATTAGCATATATCTTTTTCTATTTATAAATATAAATAAAAAAAGATATATGCTAATTCAATTTTTGTGTAATATAAATATATATTAAACATACTTTGTCAACTAATAATTTTGAGCAGTAGAAGCAAAAGCATCTCATAATCTTTATGGTCATTGTTAAGAACCCAATATGGAAGACAGGTTTTGAAAGCTCAATATGACCAAAATGACCTGGACATTCAGTCATGTTACCAGCACATGTTTGACATCGAGTCATTCTATCAATAGTACCTTGACGAGGATCCATTAGACCACATAGTTTTGGTTTGCCTGCTTCCATAGTTTCAGCATAACAAATTCCTCCATCAGTAACAGACATACGCCTCTGCATAAAAATTTATAAGAATTATTATTTATCAATAAAAAAAACATTTAAATTAAAAGGGAAACACACACACACACACACATACACACACACACACGCACATATATATATATATATATATATATATATATATATATATATATATATATATATATATATATATATATATATATATATATATATATATATATATATATATATATATATATATAATATATTAATATTAATATATGTAAATGATTCAAACTCGATTGAGAATTTATTTTTACGAATAGGGTTGAATATTTTGTTTGTGTTCGACACAGATCTAACATTAACTAATTGTTTTATTTGATAGAATTAACTTTAAATGTCGGCACAGATATAACTATATTTCAAGGAGAAGTATTCTATTATATTTACTCACTATTTCGTCAGGACTGAGTACACCGAATTGAACTTTTTTCACCAATCTCAGTGGTGCACTTGAATGTACTTGGGTTGTGGGACCTGGCATTTTGTTTTTAAATTTCTAAAACAGGGGAATCGTTACAAGTATAAATGTATAATTTCACCACGTGGTGGTTTCTGACATGCTACGCAACAGAAAACAGTATATAATTCAATAGTGATACTCCAATCGAGTGGTTAGATACCTTTTCTTTGAGTTCGCGCTTGTTTAGAGCGCTTTGGTGTGTGATGGCAATTTTTTCAGTATTTATAAAAAATCGAGTCTTTGCGGGAGGCACGTTACATGACCGTTGTACTGCGCGGCCCCATTAAAAGTAAACACAGTTACTCTGAAGAGATGAGGGGAAGGGAATCTTCATAAGAAAATGCATACAAGGGATCCCTCAAAAAACTACTCAACACAATTCAGCGAACAAAAAATTATAAAATAATTATTTGTTCAAAAATTGTATTGCGTTATTTATGAACTTATATTGTGTTAAGTTTGAAAATGTTTTTTAGTCAAACTATCATGTAAAGAAAAGTTCTCTGTGTAATTTCAGTCTTTGTTATGAACATGCCGACGGGCTAAAGCAAAAGTGGCCAAAGTAAATTTTTTACATTTTGAGATAATCAAAAAAACCATTTCTTTTAAAACAAACTTGTTGAAATCAAACATAAAGTAGGTTCTGTTTAGGCCCGTCTTTAGGTCATCCTAGCCCCCCAGCGAAATAACGGCTGTCGAGCCAAAAAATACCGTACTTAAACACGGGTTATTTTTAAACGTTTTACATCATAAATACTTCTACATAAGATCAAAACCTGACGAGTAAATGTGGTAATTATGATAAGGTAAGGTGATCCAAAGATTAGTCTTTGGATTAACTTACCATAAGCATTGAAAAATCAAATCTTTTTTTTTCTACATAGAATTAAAACACTTAAGCAGGGTAAAATGAAATATTTCATTTTACCTTGCTTATTTACCCTAAGTATACATAGTTTTCATCTAAATCACATTTTTACTTTCATAAGTTAAGGGGGAAAACCTCTCAGAAAAATTTTTTTTTTTCAATTTTTTTTTTCCAGATATTTTAAAAGTAAATTTATTAAGAAATCAAATAGTAAAAACCTTTTTCGAAAATCGTTATTTTTTATATCAATAAATGACACTTTTGTACAACCACCTGAGTTCAAAATTACCTAGCAACGCCCCTAGTTACAGAAAAACTGTGAATAAAACACATCTAGTATAGCTTTTTATCCGGTTTTTTTTTTGCAGTTTAGTTTGAAATGCTTCCCATTATCTCTAAAGCCATACTTTAAAACCACATATTTGACTGATAGTGCTAAAATTAGTCATCTTTTCAAGCTTCTACACAATCAACTCAAGCTTTCTACATAATTAAAAAAAATGGACAAGTCTAAAACTGAATATAAAAGTGATAGAGTAAAATTTTCTACAAAACGTCTTCGAAAACGTAAATGTACATTTTCTGGTTTAAGAAAGCAAGAAAAATGTGTAAATATTGGTGTAAATAATGTTAATAGTAATAATGAAAATATGGTAGACTCTGTAAATATTGAAAGTGAAAGTGTATTTAAAAGTGCATCAAAAAAAAAAGTAAAGCAAGTAATGGTTCCAAGTGGAAACTCAAAATGTGTCAATGGCTACAGGTTTATTGATTTAGAAATTCTTGCTTCCATTTTTGATAAACTTGGGTGTCCAGAATGTTTGCGACCATCACAGTTGTCGTTAAGCGAAAATAAAAAGTCTTGCAAAGGATATGCATCAAATTTATCATAAAATTGTGTTTATGGTTTCAAGTTAGACTTTGACACATCAAAAAATGTAGCAGGGTTTGATATTAACAAAAGATTAGTGTATGCCATGAGAACACTTGGTCAAGGCCAAGCTGGTCTACATCGGTTTGCCACTCTTATGAATATCCCAAAAGGATTATGCAATAAAAGCTATAATGTTATTGTTCAAAAATTGGCAACTGCAGCACAAACTGTTGCTGTTGAAACTATGAATGAAGCTGTACAAGAACTCAGAGAAGGCAAATCTCTTAATGAGATCTTAGATATTGGAGTTTCTGTTGATGGAACATGGCAAAAAAGAGGATTTAATTCACACAATGGGGTGACGGCAGCATTATCAATTAAAAATGGGAAGGTTTTAGATGTTGAAGCATTATCTAGAAAATGTAAAATATGTGACAAAAATCAAGATGTTGGTATTTCAAAGCAGCAGCTAACAGCAAAAAAATCACATATTTGCAATAAAAACTATGAAGGATCAGCCGGTGGAATGGAAACAGTTGGGGCAATAAAGATATTTAATCGCTCTTTGCAAAAATTTAATTTACGATACACAGAATACTTGGGTGATGGTGATAGCAAAAGCTACACTTCTGTCAAAAACACATACAAGGGTATTGAAATAATTAAACTAGATTGTATTGGACATTTTCAAAAGCGCATTGGATCTCGTTGTAGACAATTAAAAAAGCAAGTCAAGGGTTTAAATGGTAAAGGCGGTTTAACAAACGCTACAATTGATCGGTTGCAAAATTATTTTGGTATTTGCATTAGGCAAAATTGTGGCAACCTTGAAGGTATGAGATCTTCAGCTTTGGCTAGCTTATTTCATGTAGCATCTTCAAGCAAAAATAATTGGCATTACCCGCATTGTCCCACAGGAAAAGATAGTTGGTGTAAATACAATCGAGATAAAGCTAATGGAACCAAAGAGTATAAACCCGGACCAGGTCTTCCTATTGAAATAGTACACAAGTTAAAGCCCATTTATGTAGAACTAACATCAGATGCTTATTTAAATCGTTTACTTCATGGAAGAACACAGAATCAAAATGAAAGTTTTAATGCAATGATATGGTCTGAATACCTAAGTCAAAGTATGTTTCGCTTACGCAATTGAAATTTGGACTCTATGATGCTATTGGTGCCTTTAATATAGGATTAAAGTCTAGTATACTTATATTTGAAAGACTTAATATGATACCAGGGCAACATACCATTTCTGGATGCAATTACCTGAACCAGAAAAGAGTTATGATGTCAGAGTATAAAAATCAAGACACCATCAAAAAAAAAAAGAAGGTTTTAAGAAGCCGCAAGCTTAAAAAATTTGATAAAGTTGAACAGAAAGAAGGGAAATTGTATGGGGCTGGTGTTCATGATTAAAAAATACAATCAGTATGCTCTTTTTATATTATATTTTTTGTATCTTTGTTATTATATAATATTTTTCATCACAATTTCAACTTATTTGGCATTTTTCTCAGAACGCGTGTTTTTAATCTCCCGGCAGAAGTATCTTGAGAACCGCTTGACCGATTTTAACGAAATTTTCAGGGAGTATTCCTCTCATAAAGATGTATACAATGAGCAAGCAACTTTTTAAAAATGTTTTTTAAACTAAAGAAATTAAAAAAAATATCTATTATTTTTGTGCTTAAAATTTTTGCCAAAATTAAACAGGCCTACTACCTGACAGAAAAGTTATTTTCAAAAACTGTCTGCTTATTGCATAGATCTATCTTTTAACTATAAGTTAGAAAAAAATCAGCTCAAAGTATCATTCTAATTGACTGCAATCTTTGCCAGGGTGAAGAGACTAATTTGACATTTTCCCTTAGTAACCGCGTTGCCATGGCAACAGAGTGCCATTTTTTATGATAGATCTTCTTAACATTTAGTATACTTTTATTTGGAACATGTAATAACTTTATTAATGCTTTACTTTAGAAAATAAGTTTTTGAGGGGTTTTCCCCCTTAATAAATTAATTTGATTTCTTGCAGCCGCTTTCTATATCAACGAAATGATCAATTACATATTATACGTTGATATATTTTAAAAGAATATTTTCAATTTAAAAAACGTATAATACTGACAAACGTTTCTGTTCATTAATAGTGACCTTTAGCAATTTTTCACCCTTTTTAAATTAGAAAAGGATCTTTCTCCAGTACAAGTTGTAACAGCTGAGAAAGAAACGTCCTTAGAACAACGTCAACATTAGGAAATGTAAATACAAGTTTCTTCGATCAAATAATTAAAAGTAAATCTAGTTGATTTGGTTTTCTAGGTTCATCCGTACCAATTTCAAACAATTTGGAAACAAATCTTTTGAACTGCAGAAATTCATTTATAAAATTATTGTCCGAATTATTTAGGAGATTTTAAAGAGTTTTTGGGCGTGCGATGTGATTGCAACAGAATCCATATCTGGAAGGTGAGCAAAAAATGCAAAACAAGAGATAAGTAGAGCATAAGCTAGCATTTGTCTTTCAAACTCAGCTAAAAATTGATTGATTATAATTTTAACCTCAGCAAAAATTTTCCTCTTTCAGTAATGTCTGATGCCACAATAGACGTTAATCCGTCATATTAGCTTTTGTACGCTCTTTTTCGTTTCTAGTAAGCAGAGTACTTCTCGGTGTTTATCAACATCATAGCTTTTTTTTCAAATTTATTGAAACTTGATCTAATCTTTTGTTCAGTTTTTTCAAGACTAACTCGGAGTTTAAACGCATATTTTATATGTGCAAGTATATTTATACTTTTGACAATTTAAAGAGCTTAAAAAACTGATTCTGATAATTATACCTTGTAACGAGAAAATCATGTTTGAAGAACAGAACACTCATCGGAATGTGCACACAATCTAGTCCGGGAGTAACTTTTTGAAACCTTTACACTGTATTCCAGTTTTATTTTCAAGACTTCCCAGCAATGCGTTGAAGCAGAAAAAAAAAGTTATATAGCTGTTTTAGCCAAAAAAAGATGCCACTCAACACTCAACAGCTGTAAGACCAATTAGATTCAAAGAATGGCCGGCGCACGGAACATAACAGCCAAGCAGCTTGCTAATTTTATCTTGGTTTACGTGATTATACGTTTATATATTTAGCTAAAAATGGGTTGCATTTATCTAGTAAATATTTTTTATTTTTTTATATAATATATATTTGCTCTTCATATAAAAAGAAATATAATTACAAAGAAACGTTTACATACAAAAAAAGTGAATTTATAAAAAACAGGCAGGGGCTCAAAGAAGATGCGGATGACTAAAGTCACCACAATCTTTTCATAGAGCCCTAGGTGGGCTTTACAAGTTAAAAAAAATAGTATCTCCAATATAATAAAAAGGTTAAAGCTTGCATAAATATTTCCATTAAATCAAGAAAGTAAATAACATCATATAGTTTTATCAATATTCAT